ATCAGGAACGGGAACGGGCTAAGGGAGAGAACTTGAATAGCTATCAAGTGTATAAAAACACATGTCTCTGTGTTATATGGTTATACTTGTATTTTTTGGTGTTATCCCTGCTTGAATCGTTTTTGGCCAGATCGTAATTAAAACTTCTGCAGCTGTTTTCACCTGGAGAATCTGTTCTTCAATCTGAAACTTTGGGTATTAGTGTAAATGCTCTCCAGGCAGGACCCTCCTTTAACCGTGGTCCTGCCTCAATCCCATATCACATAATGCATTATATTGAATAAGCAAGTGGTAAGTCTGGCCTGAATGACCTTAATCAATAATAAGTATTGATAAGAATCTAATCATGTGCAATTGAAATACAGGTAGTCCCTGAGTTACGAACATCTGACTTACAAAACTCATAATTAAGAATGGAGGTGAGACAGGCAGTGAGAGAAAATGACCCCTCAGAAGGTAAATCTACTCCTGTCTCGACAAAAGCTTTATCAACAGTCCTTGTTTCCACAACAAGCCAAGTTTTTCAAAATTCAATTATCACAGGGACAGAAAGTGGGATAGCAAAATGAACACCACAAGGGTGTTAATCCTTCCCTATGCTATCAAAATATAACAAATATAGATATTTGGCTGGAGTTACACTTAGAAAAATATACCTGTTCTGATTTACAAAGAAATTCAACCTAAAACAAACTTGTTTGTAATTTAGGGACTCCATGTATACATTATACTTGGATATCCATTATGTAATGTCATGTTCTAGATAGGCTTGGGGTCGCAGAACTGTTTCCTCTGCTTAACATGGAAATTGCTGAAAAGTGTAGCATGGAAAAACAAAAACCCCTATAACTTGTTGCTAATAGAGGTGTTTAAGTTTTCTGAACCATAGAGATCTGCTAAGATTTTGCATTGGGAAAAGATAGGTGCTTATTGTTGTACACAGTTTTATAGCCTTTCTGCTGAAAGGATATCTTCTTCCCCAGATATGCACTCCCAGTCTGTGAAATCAGTCCAAGAGTGTGGTGTCTGTCCTAAATTCCCAGTCTTTGCACTGTCTACTCAGCAAGAGTGGAGCAAATGGATGTTAATGTCTGTGATCATTTGATTTGGATTTCAAAAAACAAAAGCAAGTGACACTTTTTAACAAATTTGTATTTTATTTATAAAAACCAAATTGTACTCTATATAATTCATCCAACGAATTTACCTCCTGAAGCATTACCAGCAGCAAATACAATATAATCAATGTCTTCTCATTCCTCTCATACCAAAGAACAGATATCATGTCTACATTTTCTTTTGATAAATATCAGTTATTCAGATGTTGAGATTCTACAAGACTTGTAAAAAAGTTGTAAAAAATCCCATTGGCTTTTTTTGCCGCCACAGCCAACAATGTGATGTGGCGGCAAAAAACCAATGGGATTTTGGCCTGCATCAATAGGAGCATAGTGTCTAGATCTAGGGAAGTAATGCTACCCCTCTATTCTGCTTTGGTTAGACCACACCTGGAATATTGTGTCCAATTCTGGGCACCACAGTTCAGGAGAGATGTTGACAAGCTGGAATGTGTCCAGAGGAGGGCGACTAAAATGATCAAGGGTCTGTAGAACAAGCCCTATGAGGAGCGGCTTAAGGAGCTGGGCATGTTTAGCCTGAAGAAGAGAAGGCTGAGAGAGATATGATAGCCATGTATAAATATGTGAGAGGAAGCCACAGGGAGGAGGGAGCAAGCTTGTTTTCTGCTTCCTTGGAGACTAGGACGCGGAACAATGGCTTCAAACTACAAGAGGAGATTCCATCTGAACATTAGGAAGAACTTCCTGACTGTGAGAGCCGTTCAGCAGTGGAACCCTCTGCCCCGGAGTGTGGTGGAGGCTTTTTGTCAGGGGTGATTTGAATGCAATTTTCCTGCTTCTTGGCAGGGGGTTGGACTGGATGGCCTATGAGGTCTCTTCCAACTCTTTGATTCTAAGTCACAGTAAAAAGTTATGAACAACTAGTTCCTTGCTTCTTAAAGTTGTATGCTAATAGCAAGTTTCTTCCTACTATCAAAAGAAGGCAGAGTGCCTTCTAGGAATGTCTCCTGTGGCAGAAAATTCCAAAACATGGAGGTACTACTATTGGGTATATGTTGATCTATTCTCTGAGTATTAATACTCAGAGTATTAATAGTCTACTCTGAGAGTATTGATAGTCTACTTCATTATACTAGCCCATGATGATGATGATGATGATGATGATGATGATGATGATTATACCATTCCTCATATACATATAAATGAGATAGATAGAGGGACAGATAGGCAGGCAGGCACATTTATGAGTGTACCTGTGTATAGTTAGAAACTCCTGGCTGTTGGATATTTTAGGATTTTTCAAAACTTCATTTCAGATTTTGTTTTTTTAAAATAATGTTATTATTATTATTTCATATATTTATATCCCGCCCTTCTCCCCACAAGGGGGACTCAACGCGGCCTCACATGAGCATCAGAGGATGCTAACAGCATAAATACCATAAAAATTACAATTTACAATAAAATCATTTAAAAATATTATACTACATCATCTGGAAAATTTAACAATAAATTAATAGATTAACGTGCCAGTAAAACTAATCCAAGCTGGGAGAATGTTCTCTGAGTTAGTAAAAGCCCTTTAGACAAGATATCCCTATAAAATCACTATGTCTTGGAGAGATATATCTCTCTATGAACTAGTTAGAAAACTACTATCCGCTGGGGAGTTCCTTCTCTCTGTCCCACCACCTGCTCAAGCATGTTTGAGTGGCTGCTCCCAACTTTGGAACTCCTTCCCAAAAGAGACCAGGATAGCCCCATCCCTGTTTGCCTTTTTCAGGCAACTGAAGACATATTTCTGCCATCAGGCACTTGGAGGGGAATGAGGGGCACACTAATGGCGAGGTTGTGAATGCAAGTGTGTGTTTGCTCAATAAGACAGACTACCAGCAGAGTCTTTTCTGGAGTGCAACTTTTGTGTGCCTATCTATAAAGCTAATATATTGATTCTTCTCCCACCCTTCGAAAAACTGTCTCCTAGAACTGAACACTTAAGTCAGTCCTTGCCTTTTTAGCTTGCTCCAAGAATACTGAGAAGGAAGTTATCAAAGCTTCATACTTGATATAGAAGACAATCCAGAAAGTCAGGAATAAATATTAAATTTTGAATTTTAGTTCCATTGTATTGTCGAAGGCTTTCATGGCCGGAATCACTGGGTTGTTGTAGGTTTTTTCGGGCTATATGGCCACGGTCTAGAGGCATTTTCTCCTGACGTTTCACCTGCATCTATGGCAAGCATCCTCAGAGGTGTGAGGTCTGTTGGAAGTTAGGAAAATTGGGTTTATATATCTGTGGAATGACCAGGGTGGGACAAAGGACTCTTGTCTGCAGGAGCTAGGTGTGAATGTTTCAACTGACCACCTTGATTAGCATTTAATGGCTTGGAAGTGCCTGGGGGAATCTTTTGTTGAGAGTGATTTGATGTGCCTGATTGTTTTACTCTCTGTTGTTTTGCTGTTGTAATTTTTGAGTTTTTTAATACTGGTAGCCAGATTTTGTTCATTTTCATGGTTTCTTCCTTTCTGTTGAAATTGTCCACATGCTTGTGGATTTCAATGGCTTCTCTGTGTAGTCTGACATGGTGGTTGTGAGAGTGGTCCAGCATTTCTGTGTTCTCAAATAAAATGCTATGTCCAGGTTGGTTCATCAGGTGCTCTGCTATGGCTGACTTCTCTGGTTGAAGTAGTCTGCAGTGCCTTTCATGTTCCTTGATTCGTGTTTGGGCAATGCTGCGTTTGGTGGTCCCTATGTAGACTTGTCCACAGCTGCATGGCATACGGTAGACTCCTGCAGAGGTGAGAGGATCCCTCTTGTCCTTTGCTGAACGTAGCATTTGTTGGATTTTCTTGGTGGGTCTGTAGTGGTTTGTATGTTGTGTTTCCTCATCAGCTTCCCTATGTGGTCAGTGGTTCCCTTGATGTATGGCAAGAACACTTTTCCTCTGGGTGGATCTTCATCTCTACTCTCGTGGCTTGTTCTTGGTCTTGCAGCTCTTCTGATGTCTGAGGTGGAGTATCCATTGGCCTGTTGAGATGGTTCAGTTCATCTTGGAGGAGGTGGGGTTCGCAGATTCTTTTTGCATGGTCTGCCGAGGCGCTTCTTTTTTGACTTGGGTGATTGTTGGAGTTTTTATGTAGATATCTATCTGTGTGTGTGGGTTTTCTGTAAACTGTGTGACCCAATTTTTGATCTGGTTTGCGGTGTGACCCAATTGTTGATCTGGTTTAGTTCCATTAATTCTAAGTTGATTCCAACCTGCATGTACTGCATTATCTCAATCATACATTATATATATATATATATATAGAGAGAGAGAGAGAGAGAGAGAGAGAGAGAGAAACCACCTCTGTATTTCAAACACATTTTCTACCACTTGAACAAAGACATATTTATTTATTTATTTATTTATTTATAGACTTGTATACCGCTAATATCTCAGCCGAAATCGGCGACTCATTGCGGTTTACAACAGATTAAGAACAATACCATATTAAAAACATGAAACACAATTACAATACAAATTATTGGACCACCAATAAAATCCGATGCATCTCGTAACTAAAATCCCAATCCAAATTCGTTGTCCGTGATTGTCAGTCCTTTAGTCATCAACATTCGGTTGCAACGTACTAGCCAAATGCTTGTTTGAACAACCATGTTTTCAGTCTCTTCCGAAACACCATCAGCGTAGAGGCTGATCGTACCTCTAAAGGGAGGGTGTTCCAAAGCCGAGGGGCCACCACAGAGAAGGCCCTGTCTCTCGTTCCCACCAACCGCACTTGTGAAGCCGGCGGGATAGAGAGCAGGGACTCTCCAGAAGATCTTAGGGTCCTGGTGGGCTGATAGGCTGAGATACGTTCGGATAGATAAGTTGGATAGACATATAGTTCGGATAGACATATAGTTCGGATAGACATATAGTATGCCAAAGCTCCTACTTTAGCAAGAATTTTTTAAACCAATATATACAATTCGATTTTATGAAATGGACAGACTCTGACACCCCCTCCCCCCCAAAGACAGTTGTTGCTACAATACAGCAGCAATCTCGGACTCCATAACTGCCTTCATGAAAACAAATCTAAATATTCTATACAGATATAATAATTCATAACTACAAATCTATGCTGTCAATTTAATGGAGCCGAGCAAGGATAGATGTGCTTCTGCATCCAGTCAAGCTGAACATGATGGGAAAGGACTATAGAGTTTAACATACCAAGTCTGAGCATGTTGGATGATACAAGTCACACTATGGCTGTGTGCTGAGCAGAAACTATTCCAGTTTTGTTTTCCGTGTGATGCTGCCACATTTCCGACAGCAAAACGAACAGCATTTTACAACGATGAACATGAAAAGTGCCACACAACTGATCAAAAAGGCAATGACGTCAAGGCAGTGATACTGGTACCAGGTCAAGTCATGGGCAGCTACTCTCAAATGCTTGGCGCCTTTGTGGCGCATGACAAACTCAATCCAGAAGACAGCCCGGTCTAGGGGCTTCATGGGTTGGTCGTGATGAATCTGCGACAGTCGAACTGCATTTTCCTTATATCTGTAGGATTGAGGAAGAAAGAAGAACAAACAGTAATGACACCATGACCTACGAGTAATCATTAACATCTTTAGTGCCTTTGTTTATGTGGAATAGATGCTTAACTGAAAGCTTTTTACTATTTTGCTAAATATTTGTGAAGAGTTTCATAAAACATTTCAAATAAGGTGAAATAAAGTAAAATGTACAGTGCTATGGTTTCACTTTGATATTTAGAAAAATAAATTGTTAAATTGTTATACTTAATATAATTGTTATATTTTTCTGTATGCACGATACCATAGAATCATAGAATCAAAGAGTTGGAAGAGACCTCATGGGCCACCCAGTCCACCCTTCCAGTATTTTCTGTTGGCCATGGGAGTTCTGTGTGCCAACTTTGGTTCAATTCCATTGTTGGTGGGGTTCAGAATGCTCTTTGTTTACAGGTTAACTATAAATCCCAGCAACTACAACTCCCAAATGGCAAAATCAATCCCCCCGCCAACCCCACCAGTATTCAAATATGGGCATACTGGATATTTGTATCAAATTTGCTCCAGTGAATGAAAATACATCCTGCAGATCATTATTTACATGGCGATTCATAATGTTAGGGTTCTGGTTGGGGGTCACCACAACATGAGGAACTGTATTAAGGGGTCACGGCATTAGGAAGGTTGAGAAACACTGTTCTAGAGGCATTCCTCCTGACGTTTTGCCTGCATCTATGGCAAGCAGGCGAAACATCAGGAGAAATGCCTCTAGAACATGGCCCTATAGCCCGAAAAAACCCACAAGAACCTAGTGATTCCAGCCATGAAAGCCTTCGACAAACTTGTTACTGTTTTCCTAAAGGCTTGTCCCTGTTACATTTCCTTTCCAAGTTAAGTCACACTACACAGAAGAAAGACCAACTGAATATTATTAGCTATTAATTAAATAAACCCTCACAAAGTGGTGGCTCCTTTACAAATGTTTACAAATTAGTGGCAGTAATCTTACACTTCATCGCAAGCGGAGGCAAGAGAAAGAAAAAAAGGAAAGAGGGAGAAGGAAAAGGGGAGAAAGCAGGGAAGAGAAAGAAGGAGGGGAAAAGAAAAGGAAGGGATATAAAAAGGAGAAGAGGAGAAAGGGAGAGAAAAAGAGGGAAAAAGAGAGAAGGAAGGGAGAAAGAAGGAGGGGAGGAAGAGAGAAAGAGAAAAGGGATAGAACAAGAGAGAAGCAGAGAAAAGAAAGGGAGAGAAAGAAAAAGAGAGGCAAAGGGGGAGAGAAGGAAAGGAGAGAAAGGGAGAAAAAGAAAAAGAGAGGGAAAGGGGGAGAGAAGGAAAGGGCAAGAAAGAGAGAGAGAAATGGCCCGCCTTCTCGCCTTCTCCTTCAGTGCAAGTGCTTCTGCGTCAAAGCGCCTCTCCATGACTCTCTCCACCCTGTGCCACTGTAGGAGGGGGAGGAGCCCCTTTTCGGACCCCAACCGCTCTGACCCGGAGAAGGAAACATAGAGAAGGATCCGAAGTAGCGTGGACATGAGTGCTGGCTGTTTGGCTGGCAGAAGGGGTCCGGCAGCTATTCTGGGGAGGCGGAGGAGCAGGGACAAAGGAGGAGGAGGCACAACCCCTGTGGAACAGTCTTGTTGACCCCCAAAGGGGTCGGGACCCACAGGTTGAGAACCGCTGATCTAGAAGGACAGGCATTAGATGGGTCAGCTGGAGCTTAATAAGACATTTGGGTCTTTGTTGTGAACAACACCAGAATGTGAATGTGACAATTTAAATTTTTCAAACTACACAATGAAGAAACTGGCTGTGGTTTCAAAATTATTTTTAGTTCAGAAACTGAAATAAGGTTCAGTCTGAACTGCAAAATGGAATGATGCTAGCTTCAAATGCCCTTATAACAATAAGATAAATATTGTCATTGGGATGGTGATCAGGGAGGACATTCACAAGAGCAAAGAAAAAAGAGAAAATGGAAAAGAGATTAGTCAAAGAACTACTATGCACTAAAGAGTCCACATTTTTCTTCTCCAAAACTCATTGGAAGAATATTTTGCTTTAGATATAGCCTATAATAATCCCTCCTTCAGAGAATTTCCATTGTACTTACGTCTTATTGTGAATAACAGCATTAACAGCGTCCACTAAATCTTGTGCTGTCATTGTGTACATATTCAGCTCTACAGCCATTCCCTTTGCACGCATGTGAGCAACGTTATCAGGTTGGTCTGCAAACATGGGGATCCCTACCATGGGAATCCCATGGTAAATGGCTTCATAAATCCCATTTGTTCCACCATGAGTTATAAAGGCTTTTGTCTTTGGGTGTCCTGGAATTGGAATATGAAAATACATGGGTAATACATGAAAGGCCTGATAAAAATTAATTATTGCAACTATTTACTAAAAGGTTCAATTCCTGAAGATTGTCATTTACTCTAAACATTGATATGTTTCCAGAAATGGGAATAAAATATTCATATCAAATATCATGTTTCACTGCATAATAGTTAGCCGTGCAAAATTGTTGAATCCCTTATTTTGGGGTACCCTTTTTGGAATTTTTTGTTTCCTCACATAATAGTTGCACCCTTAGTTCACTCACCCACACACATATCTTTTTGGAGCTACGGGTCTTGCTTTGGCTGATAACCAAAGCAAGTGTCGTAGCTGCAGAGGGGAGGAGCTGGTAGGTAAACAGTTGCATCTGTCAAGTAGGAAAATTAGGTACCACCTTAAAGTGTGTTGTTGTTCATTCGTTCAGTCGTCTCCGACTCTTCGTGACCTCATGGACCAATCCACGCCAGAGCTCCCTGTCGGCCGTCACCACCCCCAGCTCCTTCAAGGTCAGTCCAGTCACTTCAAGGATGCCATCCATCCATCTTGCCCTTGGTCGGCCCCTCTTCTTTTTTCCTTCCACTTTCCCCAGCATAATTGTCTTCTCTAGGCTTTACTGTCTCCTCATGATGTGGCCAAAGTACTTCAACTTTGTCTCTAGTATCTTTCCCTCCAGTGAGCAGTCGGGCTTTATTTCCTGGAGGATTGGACTGGTTGGATCTTCTCGCAGTCCAAGGCACTCTCAGAACTTTCCTCCAACACCACAGCTCAAAAGCATCGATCTTCCTTCGCTCAGCCTTCCCTAAGGTCCAGCTCTCACATCCGTAGGTTACTACATGGAATACCATGGCTTTGACTAGGCGGATCTTTGTTGTCAGTCTGATGTCTCTACTCTTCACTATTTTATCGAGACTGGACATTGCTCTCCTCCCAAGAAGTAAGCGTCTTCTGATTTCCTGGCTACAGTCTGCATCTGCCGTAATCTTTGCCCCTAGAAATACAAAGTCTGTCACGGCCTCCACGGTTTCTCCTTCTATTTTCCAGTTGTCAATCATTCTTGTTGCCATAATCTTGGTTTTTTTGACGGTTTCACCTTGATTAGAAGGCTCCTCAGCTCCTCCTCGCTTTCGGCCATCAGAGTGGTGTCATCTGCATATCTGAGGTTGTTAATGTTTCTTCCAGCAATTTTCACCCCAGCCTTGCATTCATCAAGCCCCGCACATCGCATGATGTGTTCTGCATACAAGTTAAAAAGGTTGGGTGAGAGGATGCAGCCTTGCCGTACGCCTTTCCCAATCTTGAACCAGTCTGTTGTTCCGTGGTCAGTTCTGACTGTTGCTACTTGGTCCTTGTACAGATTCCTCAGGAGAGAGACAAGGTGGCTTGGGATGCCCATCCCACTAAGAACTTGCCACAATTTAAAGTGTGTGGAGGCTAAATTAACTAATTTATGAGGCCATTAAAAAAAAGACTCCAGCAAGCACTCCAGCAAAAAGCATGCGGGGAATGCAGAAGTACTTAATCAGTGTCGCAGATGGACAATGAAAGCAACAGCTCCCCTGACGGCCAGAAAAAAAAGTTAAATAGCCTCTGTCTATATCTGTATATGTTGTATGTCAAAAATTGGCATTGAACTTTTGCCATATATGTGTACACTGTAATCCGCCCTGAGCCCCCTGCGGGGTGAGAAGGGCGAAATGTAAAAGCTGTAAATAAATAAATAAATAAATGAGTTCAATTGCCTGATCACCTCTGCATCCAGAACAATGGAGGAGAGAGAGAGGAGAGAGGTAAGTTAATCTGCAAGCCTCCATAACTTGGAAGAATCAAGGAACATGAAAGGCACTGCAGACTACTTCAACCAGAGAAGTCAGCCATAGCAGAACACCTGATGAACCAACCTGGACACAGCATTTTATTTGAGAACACAGAAATGCTGGACCACACCAACAACCACCATGTCAGACTACACAGAGAAGTCACTGAAATCCACAGGCATGTGGACAATTTCAACAGAAAGGAGGAAACCATGAAAATGAACAAAATCTGGCTACCAGTATTACAAAAAACTCTAAAATTACACCAGCACAACAACAGAGAGGAAACAAACAAGGACATCTAATTACCTCTCAACAAAAGTTTGCTCTAGGCACTGTCAGGCCATTATATGGTAATCAAGGTGATCAGTTGAAACATTCACACTTAGCTCCAGCAGACAAGAGTCCTTTGTCTCACCCTGGTCAGTCCACAGATATATAAACCCTTTTTCCTAGAACCAACAGATCTCACTACCTCTGAGGATGCTTGCCATAGATGCAGGCGAAACGTCAGGAGAGAATGCCTCTAGACCATGGCCATATAGCCCGACAAAATCTACAACAACCCATTATTATTATTATTATTATTATTATTATTATTATTATTACATTTCTCAGTAATTACTTAAGCAGTGCTGTAAACCCAGATTTCTCACCAAGTAGATCATTTTGTGGGATCCAGTCATAAAGTCTGGTATTGGCTCCAAGTGTTTCTGGCCTTTTCCCTTTGTACCGCCATACAACCTGAAAACAAACAGGAGAAAGAGAAAAGGATTCCTTGTAACATAGCTTGCAAAGCTATCCTTGACCATTTTCCAAGACCATGCTTGTTAGCTTCTCAAATAGCAATTTTAGGTTAAGGTGAAACAATCTGCCAGATCAATTCCTGCCCTTGCATTAAATCATACACTAAAATAGATGAAGAGTGGGGGAATTTAGTGTCTGCTAATATTGCTGGATAAACCCCCCTTTTGAAAGCATGAACACCAATGGCAATGCAAAAGAGTCAATTTACAACCCTATGAATGGGAGACCTTTGGTATTAACAGCTTCGCGGAGGTTTTGCAAATTCAGAAATGTGGCTTCCTTTATTCAGTCTATCCACCTGGAGTACAGTCCTCCTTTATTGCCTTCTGTGCTACTCCATGTCATGTAATCTCATGGTATGCCCAACGTATTTAGCCTCAGTTTAGTCATTTTGGTTTCTAAGAGTTCAGGTAATAGATCTTGTATCTATTTATTTGCCTTTTAAGTCTGTTTGTACAAACTCTTTCTACAAACTCTTTTTTGGAAAAGAGTTTGTAGAACTCTTTTCCAAAAAAAACACACTTTCGATAAGGTGATTTGTTTCCTGCCATTTTTATCATTGTCCATATTTCAGAGTCATACATTGAAAAGGAATATGTGACTCAACTGTTTAAGTAAGGCACAATGGTTTAAACCAGGGGTCCTCAAACTACGGCCCACGGGCCACTTCCAGCCCGCCAAGGGCACTTATCCGGCCCAGGGAGGAGGAGCGCCCCCCCCCCACACACACACACACAGGGCCCTCCCTTGGCTGGCTCACGATATCCGTCAGGCCCGATGGGCAGCGTCAGGCCAAGGGCAGCTGCTCCGCATGGCCTACTCACGCGTAAAGCACTTCGCGAGGTGCTTTACGCCCAAGGCTGCTCCTCCCTTGTTGGCTCACGCTGCCGATCAGGCCTGATGGGCAGCGTGAGCCAGCCAAGGGCAGCTGCTCCGCGCGGCCTACTCACGCGTAAAGCACCTCGAGTAGGCCATGCGGGGCTGCTCCTCCCTTGGCAGGCTCACGCTGCCCGTCTGTATGAATGCTTCAATTGGCCACCTTGATTACCACTTCATAGCCTGACAGTTTTTAGGGAGAATCCTTTGTTGAGATGGTGCTCCGTGCGGCCTACTCATGTGTAAAGCACCTCACGAGGTGCTTTACGCGAAAGTAGGCCGCGCGGAGCTGCTCCTCCCTTGGCAGGCTCACGCTATCCGTCAGGCCCGATGAGCAGCGTGAGCCAGCCAAGGGCAGCTGCTCTGCACGGCCTACTCACGCGTAAAGCACCTCGCAAGGTGCTTTACGTGAAAGTAGGCCGCATGGTGCTGCTCCTCCCTTGGCAGGCTCGATGGGCAGTGTGAGCCAGCCAAGGGAGGTTGCCCCGGCGCTCCATGCAGTCATGCCGGCCACATGACCTTGGAGGTGTCTACGGACAACGCCGGCTCTTCGACTTAGAAATGCAGATGAGCACCACACCCCAGAGTCAGACACGACTGGACTTCATGTCAGAGGAAAACCTTTAACTAGGAAAATTGTGGAAGATCCAGGGTGGGAGAAAGAACTCTTGTCTGTTGGAGGTAGGTATGAATGCTTCAATTGGCCACCTTGATTACCATTTCATAACCTGACAGTTTTTAGGGAGAATCCTTTGTTGAGAGGTGTTTAGCTGGCCCTGATTGTTTCTTGTCTGGAGTTCCCCTGTGTTTGAGTGTTGTTCTTTATTTACAGTTATAATTTTAGAGTTTTTTTAATACTGGTAGCCAGATTTTGTTCAGACAAGAAAATAGGAAGATTTCCCATTCTCTGCTCCAGGAATTACTGCCGAAAGAGGGCTAGAAAGAACCCCCTCTAAGGGCCCTTCCACACAGCAAAATAAGATATGTGCAATGTGCATAGGAATTTTTTTATTGATTAAAAAAAAAACTATAGTCCGGCCCTCCAACGGTCTGAGGGACAGTGAACTGGTCCCCAGTTTAAAAAGTTTGAGGACCACTGGTTTAAAACCTTGTGCTGGCATGACTGAAGAACAACAGGTTGCACGCTCAAATCTGAAGAGAGCACGGATGAGCTCCCTCTGTCAGATCCTGCTCTCCATATGGGGACATGAGAGAAGCCTCCCATAAGGATGGTGAAACATCAAAACATCCAGGCGTCCTCTGGGCAACATCCTTGCAGACAGCCAATTCTCTCACACCAGAAGCAACTTGCAGTTTCTGAAGTCACTCCTGACACACACAAAAACTTGTTTAAGTGAATTTCCCTTCTGAGAAGGAGATTTCTCTCAGTTGCTGTTGTCTCACCTTTCTTCTGAACTAGGAGTCATTTGTAAGTCAGATGTTTGTAATTCAGGGAATGCCTGTAATGTGATTCCAGGATGATTTAATTGGTCCCAATTATATAGTGTGTGCAGTTTAAAAAAACACACAAGGATTTTTCTTAGCAGGAAAAGAGCCTTATGCAATACATTTCCTAAGCTATAAATAACTTTTTTTAAAGTTACATCCATCAAACCAACCTTCTGTGGAAGCTGGCTGAGTGCCAGGGCAACCACGTTACTCCTTTCATCTGTAAGGTTTTTAATCATAGAACCGAGAGAAAATACCACAATGCCATGTTCTCCAGAACTCTGGACAAATTCTTCCATTTCCTATTAAAAGATAAAACCAACAATAATAATGATACCATAAAAAACAACATAGACAACATCATTTTGTGACAATTACATGCCACATTGGTCAAGATCTTGCTTTGGAACATATATTGTAAGATCATAACTGGACAGAACTACATTTCTCCCTTATTCCTCCCCTTTCTCCTGCATCAGATTAGGACTGATGCAGGAGAAAGCATCTGATTATGTCCCTATGGAAAGATGGATAGTAACAACATCCTATAGAACCTCTAAAAGACTTCATGAGATGTCAGAGGACATCTAGCCTTGGGGAAATAGTCAGATAATTCTCCAATGCCCCTCACTACCAATCACTAAATCAGAGGGGGCCCTAGGTAATTTTCAACGGTAAGCAAACAGTATTTTGCTGCCCCCCCCCCCAACCAATCACTGATATATATATTTTCTGTTCGTCGTGGGAGTTCTGTGTGCCATATCTAGTTCAATTCCATCATTGGTGGAGTTCAGAATGCTCTTTGATTGTAGGTGAACTATACATCCCAGTAACTACAACTCGCATATGTCAAGGTCTATTTTCCCCCAAGAGCGCCTCAAGAGCGCCCCTGGGCAAAATCAACTATACTGCAAATGCTTACTTTGCGTAATGGGTTGAGACGCCCCTGCACTAAATGGATATAGGAGGTGAAGGTGAGTCTTGTAGGGGTTTTGATTGTTAAAGGTAGTGAACTCCTCCATGTCACCCATTTCCTCTTGTAATTTTCTTCAAGGTACATTGAACAAGAAATTGATTGTTTTATTATTATCAAGGGAGTGGAACAAGAGAGAATTACCTTAGGCAAAGGCTTTGCTGGCTGGCAATGCAGCCCTCCTACAAATTCAAAATTTGGTAGTAATGGCCGTGGAAATTCAACGTCCCAGTAGGTTCGGATCAGCCATATTTCCGCCTTGCCCATTGTTTCACACAATGTTGTAGGTCTCCCTGTGGATAAAAAGAAGTGGAATTAAATTTAACTTATTTCCTCTTTTCAGATACGCAAGGACTTCTTAATGCAGAAGTCTAACCTTGCTTTTATCATAGAATCAAAGAATCAAAGAGTTGGAAGAGACCTCATAGGCCATCCAGTCCAACCCCCTGCCAAGAAGCAGGAATATTGCATTCAAATCACCCCTGACAGATGGCCATCCAGCCTCTGTTTAAAAGCTTCCAAAGAAGGAGCCTCCACCACACTCTGGGGCAGAGAGTTCCACTGCTGAACGGCTCTCACAGTCAGGAAGTTCTTCCTCATGTTCAGATGGAATATCCTTTCTTGTAGTTTGAAGCCAAAGTTTTGCATTCTAGTCTCCAAGGAAGCAGAAAACAAGCTTGCTCCCTCCTCCCTGTGGCTTCCTCTCACATATTTATACATGGCTATCATATCTCCTCTCAGCCTTCTCTTCTTCAGGCTAAACATGACCAGCTCCTTAAGCCGCTCCTCATAGGGCTTGTTCTCCAGACCCTTGATCATTTGAGTCGCCCTCCTCTGGACACATTCCAGCTTGTCAATATCTCTCTTGAATTGTGGTGCCCAGAATTGGACACAATATTCCAGGTGTGGTCTAACCAAAGCAGAATAGAGGGGTAGCATGACTTCCCTAGATCTAGGCACTATGCTCCTATTGATGCAGGCCAAAATCCCATTGGCTTTTTTTGCTGCCGCATCACATTGTTGGCTCATGTTTAACTTGTTGTCCAGGAGGACTCCAAGATCTTTTTCACACGTACTGCTCTCGAGCCAGGCGTCACCCATTTTGTATCTTTGCATTTCGTTTTTCCTGCCAAAGTGGAGTATCTTTACTTTCTACCTTGACTTTCCTCCATTGGCATTCTAAGTCTTTGTTATTTTCTGCTATTAGTATTGTCTGCATATCTTAAATTCTTGTTGTTTCCTACAAGTATATTTTGCCTCCTTCTTCTGAGTCCGATCCAGGTTTGTGTATGATCTGCATATAAATTAGGGTGATAAGATGCACCCTTGCCTATCCCCCTTGCTGGTGGGAAACTCTCCTGTTTCTTCATATTCTGTCCTTACAGTGGCCTTTTGTCTTGAGTACACATTACGCATCAGAACACTCAAATGTGGAGGCACACCCATTTCTTCTACAGTGATCCATGACTTATGCCAACCAAAGAGAAGGAGGCAACAATAGAGAAGACACAGGGGCATATAATACAAAGGTTGAAAATAAAATACCGATAAAACTTCCATGCTCCCATCCCAATCCTGGAAGATATCAGGAGTATACGTCTAGCATACTTTTGTGAAAAAATAATCTAGAACACATCAGTGAATCTGTAAAAGTCAAAATTGCAATTGTGGTGGGATGACTATATTAACATTTATTATAATCAGAATATAGCATAATAGAACAAGATTTTGTTGTTTATTCATTCAGTTGCTTCCAACTCTTCGTGACCTCATGGACCAGCCCACGCCGGTACTCCCTGTCAATTGTGGCCACCCCCAGCTCCTTCAAGGTCAAGCCAGTCACTTCAAGGATAACATCCATTCATCTTGCCCTTGGTCGGCCCCTCTTCCTTTTTCCTTCCATTTGCCCCAGCATCATTATCGTATCCAAGGTTTCCTGTCTTCTCATTTTGTGGCCAAAGTACTTAATTATATGCTAATCAATTATATGCTAATCAAGGTGATCAGTTGAAACATTCACACCTAGCTCCAGCAGACGAGAGTCCTTTGTCTCACCCTGGTCATTCCACAGATATATAAACCCTTTTTCCTAGTTCCAAAACACCTCACTACCTCTGAGGATGCTTGCCATAGATGCAGGCGAAACGTCAGGAGAGAATGCCTCTAGACCATGGCCATATAGCCCGAAAAAACCTACAACAACCCGAAGTATTTAATCTTTGCCTCTAATATCCTTCCCTCCAGTGAGCAGTCTTAGTATTTTTTTTCCCTATACAAATCTTCTGTATAGTCTCACCACCTTCTCTTGATTTCTTCAGCTTCTGTTAGGTCCTTGCCATCTTTATTTTTGATCATGTCCATTTTTGCCTGAAACTTACTTCCAATGGGTTGTTATAGGTTTTTCCGGGCTATATGGCCATGTTCTGGAGGCAATGTAGTCAATCTACATTGCCTCCAGTGTGAAGAACAGGAGAGAGTCGGCGTCCTGGCTGCATCTCCCCCACACTGGTGAGAAAGCAAGCCAGGAAAGGAGGCTTTAAGAACTTTTGTCTCCCAGCTACACCTTTCTATCAGCCTGCCTGCAAGAACAGGAGAGGGTCGGCGTCCTGGCTGCATCTCCCCCACACTGGTGAGAAAGCAAGCCAGGAAAGGAGGCTTTAAGACGCTGCCAGCTTCCCTTTGAGGAAACCTACCTGCTCTGTGGTCCCTCCGACGGGGCTGGCCGTCTGCTGGCCGAGCCGCCGTGTCCGGCTCCGGCGGGTCCAGCTCCGGCGTTGGGCCTCCGTCACCACCTGGGCCGCCGGCCGACCGGGCCGAGGTGAGCTCCCTCCCTCCGCTGGGGCCGCCGGGCCTCGTCGCTGGGCCACTGGGCTCGTTGTTAGGACCTGAGGGCCTCTAGGCCTGCAACTCTTATTATTTATTATTGGCTACCATTATATGAGCTTGACCATCGGCCGCCATTTGGGACTGGGTTGTCATCGTTCATGCTATTGCCTTAGGTCCGGAAGAAACACCAACTAAGACAGTACCAGACTCTGTTTTTAATCCATTGCTGACCTTTACGATTGATCGTGTGGACCGTCTTTTGCTGTGTTAGCCATCTGTGTTGTGTGATCCCTTCCGTTGATGTCATCACTGATTATGCTGACTATTCTCAGTGTGACTGATGTGAGATACTAATTGCTTGTTGATGAGTAACTGAAGTGCATATTATATCCCGCCAACATCTCCCCGAAGAGACTTAGGGCAGCTCACAAAAGCACTGAATAGTGCAAACATATAAGATACAACTAAGTATCTTACAAATGCCTAGAGGAAGCAAATGTATAGGAATCAGAAGAGGCAGTGAGAGATAACTATATTAAAAGGAAGCTCTGCTAAAATATACACAACAAATTAGGAAAGGTGCCAATAGGTCCAAGATAATGGAGCTGACCAGTTGTTAAAATGAAATTAGATACACTTGTGGAAATTAAGTATGTGAGCAGACTTGAACATATGGTTTTAGATGCTGCCAATAAATACAAGTCACTGAGGAGCAACAACAGGGAAGAGCTATTGCTTCCCTGCCCTGCTCATAGGTTTGCAATAGGCAGGCATCTCATCAGCCACTGAAAGAAACAGGTTTTTATGGATCCTTGTGATTCAGCAAGTTTTGTCTCATTAAAAAGCAAATACACAAACGAACAAGGCAGATTTCAGGTTATGTAAAGGCTTCATTGAATCTGATGACTAACTGTATCCAAGAATGTAAAGAATGCATTTGCAATGAGACACATTGTTTCTGATAGACTCCTGAGTTGAAGAAGAGTGTGGAAGGTGTACACACCCCATTCCTTAAGGAAGTAATGTAGGAAAAAAGCACACAGAGCCCTCTTTATTGTTGAGAATATAATATGAATTTGAATGTGGGGAGCTTATCCTCTGACCCTCAGTACAGATACAACA